TCCACCACCACGCCCGGCTAATTTTTTGTATTTTTAGTAGAGATGCGGTTTCACCGTGTTAGTCGGGAAGGTCTGGATCTCCTGACCTCGTGATCCACCCGCCTCGACCTCCAAAAGTGCTGGGATTACAGGCGTGAGCCACTGCGCCCGGCTGGATTAGTGCAACACCATGTTTTAATGCAATAAATTCAGACTTACTTTTCCAAGTATGTTGAGCCCTGCTTATTTTCTGTACTTTCATGCTTGAGTTAATAAACTGCAAAGTTTCCCTCTTTTGTTTGCTTTGTTTTCCTTTATATACCATTTGTTGGAGGTTCTCTATTTTGAAAGAGAGGGGGATGGAAAGTAAATTATCCCCTTGGGCTTGCGAAATAAAGTTTACCTATCTACTAAATAAATATCTCATAGCTTTCTGTGGTGGCTCAGTGGGTTATTGGAATCTTTTTTTTTTTTTTTGAGACAGAGTCTCGCTGTCGCCCAGGTTGGAGCAGTGGTGTGATCCTGGCTCACTGCAACCTCCGCCTCCTGGGTTCAAGCAATTCTCCTGCCTTAGGTTCACTGCAACCTCCGCCTCCTGGGTTGAAGTGAATCTTCTGCCTCAGCCTCTCGAGTAGCTGGGATTACAGGCGCACCACCGCATCCAGCTAATTTTTTGTATTTTCAGTAGAGACAGGGTTTCACCATGTTAGCCAGGCTGGTCTGAAACTCCCGACCTCAGGTGATCCTCCCACCTTGGCCTCCCAAAGTGCTGGGATTACAGGCATGAGTCACCGTGTCCTGCCTATTTTCTTTTTCAAATGCTGTTTATTTAAAACCCATATAAGGTGGCTGGGAGTGGTGGCTCACGCCTGTAATCCCAGCACTTTGGGAGGCAGAGGCCAGTGGATCATCTGAGGTCAGGAATTGGAGGAGAGCCTGACCTAACCTGGTGAAACCCCATCTCTACTAAAAATATAAAAATTAGCTGGGCACGGTGGCGTGTGCCTGTAATCCCCGTTACTTGGGAGGCTGAGGTAGGAGAATCACTTGAACCCGGGAGGTGGAGGTTGCAGTGAGCAGAGATTGCACTCCAGCCTGGGCGACAGAGGGAGACTCCGTCTCAAAACATCATCAACAACAACACTCACATAAAGCTGAAAAAGAAAAGAAAACTTCTAGGCATTCTCAGTATTAGGTTTAAGAATGAGACTTGTATGTTCATAAACAAGAGGTCATGTGAGCTGTCAGAGCCGGTACATGGGATAGGAAGGCCAGAGCCCGTTCGTAAACCAGTAACAGGAATAACAAGAGATAAACATTATCAGTTTACGCCCAGCCTTGGCCGAAACCCAGGGTAACACATTTCCACATTTCCTGACTCCTCTATCCTGACTCCCCACAGGACTTTGAGACCAGCCTGGGCAATATAGTGAGACTTCCTCTCTACAAATTAAAAAATTAGCTTGGCGTGTTGGCCTGCACCTGTAGTCCTAGCTACGCAGGAGGCTGAGGTGGGAGGATCACTTGAGCCCAGGAGGCTGAGGTTGCAGTGAGCCATGATCCCACCACTGTACTCCAGCCTGAGTGACAGGGCAAGACTCTGTCTCAGAAAACAAAACCAACATTTAGCAAATGTAATTACTTTGAGAGAGATAGTTCAAAATCTGGGGATTTTTGGTTAGTTTTTACATTTACTACATAAGATTAGTCAGTAGAAATGAGAATTAGCTTTTTGTACGACAATTTACAATAGCTATTATTTTAAAAATATTTTTATTCTTAAGAGTCAACCTTAAATTAGTTGTTTGGAATTGTCACTATTTAGTGTATGACGAACAAGAACTTTGAAATTAGACGACCTGAGTTCTCAGCCCACAAGCACCTCGTTAGTAGTTTAATGACCTTAAACACTTCATGCTTATGTCTTGATTTCCTCATTTGTAAATAAGAGTAATAAAATCTATCTTCTATGGTTATTAAGAAGCCTAAATGATATAAAATGTTGGGATGAGTGCTTTGTAATTTTACTGGTAGTAGATGCTGTTTAAGGAGACTTAAATAATTCAGCAAATCAGATGAACTATATTGCCATTATGTCAATTGAAAACTCCAAGTCTACCAATTTGACATTAGGGTTTCAGTAGGGGGCCCAGGGGCTCATGCCTGTAACCCCAGCACTTTGGGAGGCCAAACTGGGAGGATTGCTTGAGCCTAGGACTCCCCCTTCCCACCCTATCTCTACAAAAAAATTTTAAAAATTAGCTGGGTGTGGTGGTTCATGACTGTAGTCCCAGCTGTCTTGGAGCTTGAGATGGGAGGATCACCTGAGTCCAGAAGGTCGAGGCTGCAGTGAGTGGTGATCACGCCACTGCACCCAGTCTGGGCAACAAAGGGAGACCCTGTCTCAAAAAAAAAGGTTTTGATTTCAGATATAAATACATCTCAGAGACTCAGGGTCTTGAGATACCTACATTAAATTAGAAATAAAATGATAAAAATCAGCAAACACCTATGCTTTCTGTGAATATACATTTCTCATATCCTGTCTCCTTGAAGTCTGCCCAAAAAAGGTACCCAGTCTGATATGCTGTTCATTACATGAAATTTTAGCCAAAAGTAGAACCATTAACTATAAATTAAAAGTCATGTTATCACTTATTTATTTTGGATGATGGATAACAAGTGTTTATTATATCTTTCTGTATGCTTTAATTTCCAAAATGAAAGTGTTTAAAAAAAAAATAAGACCCAGTAGTTAGCCTGATTCTCCAAACTTCAGGCCAGATTTTTGTAAACCACAAATCTGCAGCCAGTGCAGTGGCTCATGCCAGTAATCCCCAAATTTAGGGAGGCAGAATCTGGAGGATAGCTTGAGCCTAGGAGTTCAAGACCTGCGTGGGCAATAGAATAAGAACTCCGTTCTCCACAATAAGAAAAAAAAAGGCCGGGCGCGGTGGCTCAAGCCTGTAATCCCAGCACTTTGGGAGGCCGAGATGGGCGGATCACGAGGTCAGGAGATCGAGACCATGCTGGCTAACACGGTGAAACCCCGTCTCTACTAAAAAAAAAATACAAAAAATTAGCCGGGCGAGGTGGCGGGCGCCTGTAGTCCCAGCTACTTGGGAGGCTGAGGAAGACAATATACAAATCTGCAGGAAGGAATCTTTCCAGAAAGGAAGAATTTGTTTCAAGAACTGTTTTGCAGGAATATCAGAAGGGTTTTTTTTCTTTGACTCAAAGGCCGTAACACTGTACTTTATAACAACGGAAATAAAGGCATTAGTTTGAACAATCCTCTATGCTGCTACTATTGTAAAGTTTGGAGACTATAACTCACTCAAATTGGTTTATAGCCATGTATTTACCAAATCTTTTTTCATATTCCTTTTCTCCAGGCATGCAGGAATTTATATCTCACAGCCTTCTTAGAGTCAGTCAGGTTGAGTCGGGTGGCCAGTTCAGGACAGTGAAACACATCAGCAGAAGTGAAAAGGCCACTCACTTCTGGCAGAGGCAAAGGAGAGCCCTTACAGATTCTCCAGTCTAGCTCTTCTGCCAGCCCGGAAGTGCTAGGATGGCAGAGCCAGAGACGCAAGCAGCAGGGAAGCTGAGTCACCATGGGGACGTGAGACTGACTTACAGATGACGAGTGTGCAGCCTCACAGCCTAGCCCATGTTGAGATAAACACAATACAGTCTTGCATACTTTACAGTCATAAACGAGGGAGAACAGAAATGGAAAATGACCCTCTATGCCTCTAAGACCAAATTATAATGAAACAACTTATGTCTTCAGTTTTGAAAATTAAAGTTTTTGACCCTGATAAAACAAGTTTGCTATACAAGTATCCGTTAACCATGTGAAACCCACTGAAATGAGTCAAACTATTTTCTTACATTCTTTCCACTTCAACACCAATTTTAATCCTTAGTTCCAAATTAGTTTTTAGAGACTCTTGTAAGGAAAAGGAAAATCGACCCAGAATTTTAAAAATTGTGCTATTATTAGTTTATATAGCTTTCAACAACAATTTACAATAGCTTGCATAATTAGTATATTTAATTAGTATATAGAGACATATATATATATATTTGAGAGGGAACTTCACTGCAACTTCCCAGTTGCCTCCTGGGTTCAAGTGATTCTCCTGCCTCAGCCTCCCGAGCAGCTAGAATCATACAGGCGCCCGCCACCATGCCTGGCTAATTTTTGTATTTTTAGCAGAGACGGGGTTTCATCATGTTGGCCAGGCTGGTCTGGAAACCCCGACCTCAGGTGATCCGCCCGCCTCGGCCTCCCAAGGGCAGGGATTACAGGCGTGAGCCACCGCACCCGGCCTAGTGTAATTTTTAAAAGTACAAAAGCCACTAGAAACCATGACAATAAGAACTTCCTTTTGGGTTTTCCAGCATTCGGTTTATAGGACATGGACCACACATAGATGTTTTTTGAATGCTGAAATATTTTACTCATAACACAGTTTTCCCAGTAACTTGCTTCCGGTGGATTTAAAATTTGTAATATAACTTCGTCATAGCAGGTACCTTCATGAAACTCAATATTTGAAAAAAACGTGGAGGTTTCCCCCTTTCTTTTGGCCAGAATGTATGTCCAGGGTAGTGACTTTCGAGCAAATGCGTTTAAGCAACTCCAGTATTCTTACTACGCTGCCCCCAATCCCGCTCCAAGCATGGGGAGATCAGGGTTCCACATTTTCGGGTAAGTATCAGCCGTCCTGGCGCTGCGCGAGCGCATTCTACAATTCCGAAAACTACTAACTTTTCCGTCTGCAACCTTTAATAATTGAGAGGGTATGCGCAACTCAGAAAAGTGCGCCCGCTGCGGTCGGGTGCAGAGTGGACTGGAGGAAAGACGACTCCCATTTACGGTGCGGCCCCGGGCGGGGTCCCCCGACACGGCCTTCCCGGCGTGCCACGCGCGGAGGGGACTCTTAACGTGAAGCGCTGGGTGACTCAGCCGCGTGGCCGCGCGGGCTGGGGCGGGGGGCGCGCGCCGCTGCGGCACAGCCGGTCCCGGCTGCGGCTTCTGGCTGCGCGGTCTGCGCGCGCCTCCCGGGCGGATTCCATTCCCGAGCGCGACAGCGCGGCGGGGAGCGACGAGTAAGTGGCGGCGCGGGACGGTTTCGGGCGCGAAGACCGGGCAGGGCGAGTGTGGTGGCGGGCGTGGCCCGAGTCTCCCCTTTGTGGCCGAGGGGGCTTCTCCTCCGCACGCGGCGGCGGCTCGGACCCCCAAGTCAAAAGGCCGCGGGGCTAAGCTGGGCGCGAGGAACCTGTCGGCACCGGCGTGATGGGGTCCTGTTTCCGCGCGGAGGGCAGAGTCTGGTGATCCTGGGGAGGGAGGCGACGCTGCGCCGAGGTGGTGGGCACAGCTGAAGTATAACTTGACTGCTTTTTGCAGGCCTCGGGTGGTTCATCCCGAGAGGAATGGCGAGAACCTGGAGTGTTGACTGGCAAAACATTTGCAGACGCGGTTCTTCTGGAAATTAATTGCTCCATTAAAAATTAGGTAGTTGGTGGGACTTCCTCCTGAACTCTGGAGCCGGGTGCATTTTGCCCGGTCTTTTCAGCCCTGTTTCCGCGTCTTCCTTCCCTGCCACCCGCAAATTGCCAGCTTTCATTCGTGGCTCTGAGTGCAAAAGCGCTGGGGAAAGCCTTAACCAGCAATTTTCTTTTAAATAAAACTTTGCTTTTTATAGCAGTGTCTTCAGGTTTACAAGCCCAGTTCTGTACTATGAGAAAACCTCTTCTGTTTTGGAGTTTGTGATTCTTTCTGAAAATTCTTCGGTTGAAGAGATTTATTTTTAAATAAGAATCTAGTGAACAAACTAACGTAATAAACAAGGCTGTAAAGGAACTAGTGTTTAACCAGCTTATGAAAATACATTCCAGAGTCCTTAGTTTTGTTCCTGTTCGCCCTGTGAGAAGTTGAGGTATTTTTTTAGTGGTCTCCAAAACAAAGTGTTGTAGTAATGTCTGTCGGATGTGATGAAGCCAGAGTCAGAGGACTTCCGCTCAAGGCCCCCACCTGAAACCCCAAATCCTAGGCCATAGTTCTGAAACAGAAGATTGTTCCTTAGTAATAAGGTTGCAGTACCGTAGCACCTCTTCCATAAATTTGATTCTAGAGATTTGTGATGAGTCCCTGAGTCTGGGATTTAAGCAGGCACCCCCACTCTTGGTCCAGGGACCACACGCTGAGAAACACCACCTTTAGGCTGGGCTGCCCAACAACCTTAACCCTTTGTCGATGTATTCCTCCCCAAACCTGTCGTAAACCAGTCGCCTGCCCCAAACCAGTCCTAGGACAAGAAGCTCTAACTCTCCAGAAGCCAGTATGAGAAAACATAGTGCTTTTTTTTTGACCCTGACACGGGGTAGGAAATGATTTTCATACATACTCCGATATTGCTCTGGTGGTTTAGAGATAGCCCATTTATCTTTTCCTTCTGAGGGCTGCTTCTAGTATCGTCAGAGCTTAATGCCATTAGGCCAAATCTCCTCCGCCCAGTTTACTCAGTCTCCCCATGGAACCAGGGCAGCCAATGCCATATAATTCCCATGGCCTTGACTGTCATATTATCCGGTATGTAGCAGTACTAGTAGCATTATGAGGGCTTCCAGTTCAGCTGGACATTAATTTAGTCATCAAATATCTGCGTAATGCCTATTTTCTTCAAAGCACTGTCATAGGCCGTTTTATCAACAGCATAGCGATATAGACATATATATCTTGGCACAGAGTTGCATTGCTTCTCTGAGGCAGAAATGAGGGTTGGATAAACTCCACTGCTGCCAAAAGGTTCTCTTTATTCATCCATAATTCATTCCTTCCTATTATTCCAGAAATATGCGTACTATTCCAATAATCTCGTTTTCCGTAAGAAGTTAAGAAATACATTGGATGAGGTTAGTAGTTAGGTCAGTCTTAAATTCTGTAACGGAAGTCGGGCATGGTGGCTCACATCTGTAATCCCAGCACTTTGGGAAGCCGAGGCAGGTGGATCACCTGAGGTCAGGAGTTTCAGACCAACCTGGCCAACCTGGTGAAACCCTGTCTCTACTAAAAATACAAAAATAAACCAGGCATGGTGGTGGGCACCTGTAATCCCAGCTACTCGGGAGGCTGAGGCAGGAGAAACACTTGAATCTGGGAGGCAGAGGTTGCAGTGAGCTGAGATCACGCCATTGTAGTCAGCCTGGGCAACAGAGCGAGACCCCGTCTCAAAAAAAAAAAAAAAAATTCTGTAACAGAGACACCTAATAACTTTAGTAAGGACAATAATATACACATTTTTGTATTTCTTATTCCCCCTTCAAATAGATGTGTAGAGATGAGGTTAGAATTAGGCCATGTGTTTCTCTGACTTTTTTCCTTTTTTTGGTGTCTGATTTCTCTTATTGAATCTTTTTCTGTTGATTCGTAAAATGTCATGTCTTCCTTCTGTAGCCCTGAGCTTCCTGATTGTTGTGTCTTCCTCTACCCTTCAATCTGATCTTCCTGCCCCTCTTTGGCTAAGTGGAGTAAAAAATTGAGGGGAATTGTTAGAATACCAAATGATTTTTAGTTGGAAGATCCAGAGTCTTAGATATATGAGGCTTAGAGATATAAAGGAGCCTATTACAAATTTATCAAGTGCAATCCTCTCAGATAAAGAATCTGAGAGATGAGATTGCAGAGTGAGGACTTCTGGCTCCTAGCCCAGTGTTCTTCCCACCAAATTATCTCAAGAAAAATGCTTCAAAAGTAGAAAAGGTCCAGAGAAATTATAAGTAGATGGAGAAAATGGAGAGACTTTCATGTGACTACAAAAGCAATAGTATCTTATCTGGAAAAATGGAGATTGAAGGAGGATATGATGTAACCATATAAATCATAAAAAGTGGGAGTACTACTGCTAAGGAATTCTTTGAAGCTTGAAATAAGTAGTGAAAGGACAAATAAGAGCAAGAGATAGCTATCTTGTAAAGCCCAAGAAATGTTATGAACTCAGTTTTTTTTTTTTTTTTTGAGACAGCGTTTCGCTCTTATTGCCCAGGCTGGAGTACAGTGGTGCGATCTCGGCTCACTGCAACCTCCGCCTCCTAGGTTCAAGTGATTCTCCTGCCTCAGCCTCCTGAGTAGCTGGGATTACAGCAGGCACCCACCACCATGCCCGGCTAATTTTTTGTGTTTTTAGTGGGGACGGGGTTTCACCATGTTGGCCAGGCTGGTCTCAAAACTCCTGACCTCAGGTGATCTGCCTTCCTGGGCCTTCCAAAGTACTGGGATTACAGGTGTGAGCCACCGCGCCAGGCCTGAACTCAGTATTTTTAAAAAAGATTAAATAAAAGCTTAGATAACTACTTTGGTGATTTTTAAAATATGTTAAATGCTTGAGCAATGCCCAGAATCTTTGGAAGTTGTTATCAAGAGTATAACTATTGTCCTTACCAAACTTACTAGGTACCCCTGTGATAGAATTTAAGACTGATGGCTGGGTGTGGTGGCTTACGCCTGTAATCCCAGCACTTTGGGAGGTCATGGGGGGAGGATTTCTTTAGCCCAGAAGTTCCAGACCATCCTGGGCAACATAGGGAGATCCTGTCTGTGTTATTTTAAAAATTAAAAAGTGAACAAAGAATTTAAGACTCATCTAACTACTAACCTCATCCAATGCGATATTTCTTAACTTATGGAAAATGAGATTATTGGGAATAGTACATATATTTCTGGAAGAATAGGAAGGAGAGAATTACGGATGAAGAAAGAGGGCCTTTTGATGTTTTAGCTTGGAATCCCCAAATTAGACACTGTAGGATTGATTGCTGTTGTATATTCATGAAAGTAGTAAAAATAAAAATAAAAATAGTAAGGGCTTAATAATTAGTATACATTCTATACCAGCCACTTACTAAATGGTTTTACATCACTGTCCCATTTAATTATCTCCTTTCTATAGATAAAGACTCTAAGATATAAGAGATTAAGTTTGCCCCAAATAATGTACCTAATAAGTGGCTGAGCCTGTAGTAAAGTTTAAGTCCACTTGACTTCAAAGCCATTAAAATATACGCTCAAGAGTGTCCTAGTTGTATTTCGTTGCGAAGTGGTTAAGAATGTGGGTTGTGGGCCGGGTGCGGTGGCTCATGCCTGTAATCCCAGCACTTTGGGAGGCCGAGGCAGGCGGATCACGAGGTCAGGAGATCAAGACCATCCTGGCTAACACAGTGAAACCCCGTCTCTACTAAATATACAAACAAATTAGCCAGGCATGGTGGCAGGTGCCTGTAGTCCCAGCTACTCGGGAGGCTGAGGCAGGAGAATGGCGTGAACCTGGGAGTCAGAGCTTGCAGTGAGCCGATATTGCGCCACTGCACTCCAGCCTGGGCGACAGAGCGAGACTCTGTCTCAAAAAAAAAAAAAAAAAGAATGTGGGTTGTGGAGTTAATGTTGTCTGGGTTCAAATCCTGACTCCTCCATTTACTAGCTTGGATAAAGTACTTTATCAGTTTCTGTCTCTGAAATAGACAGTAATAGTACCTACCTATCCCAGGATTTTTAGGATTGAGTTAATTCATGTAAAGTTAATAGAGCTGTGCCTCACAAACTGTAAGTTTTCAGGAAATGCTGGCCATTAATGTTTTAAAAAATATTTTTTAGGCTGGGCAGGGTGGCTCGAGCCTGTAATCCCAGCACTTTGAGAGGCTGAGGTGGGCAGATCATTTGAGGCTAGGAGTTTGAAACCATCCTGGCCAACATGGCAAAACCCCCGTCTCTACTAAAAATACAAAAAATTAGTTGGGCATGGTGGCATGCGCCTGTAATCCCAGTTAGTTACTGGGGAGGCTGGGTCATGAGAATTGCTTGAATCTGGGAGGCAGAGATTTCAGTGAGCCAAGATCGCACCACTGCACTCCAGCCTGGGCGATAGAGCGAGACTCTGTCTCAAAAACAAAAAGGAAAAAATTATAATTTTTGATATATGGTTGTGCTTAGAAAGGAAAACATATCTATAATTTATTTCACGGTGGGTGCTGTAGCTCACACCTATAATCCCAGCACTTTGGGAGGCTGAGGTGGACACATCACTTGAGCCCAGGAGTTTGAGATCAGTCTAAGC